AGGATTTTATTTTACGACAAGTATTTATAAACAAAATTAAAAATGTTAGTTTTTCAAAATTGTTAAATTTAAGAGACGCTCATAAATATTCATCAGGTTAACCGAAAAATCTAGGTAAATTATTTGACAACGCTAACTGAGGTAATTTAATGTCTAATAGACAAAAGCGTGTAAATGATGTTAAATTTTCTTTTTTGTGTAATTAATATTTAGATTATTTTAGTATGGAATAAATTTATATATTATACATGATATTCCAGAAGTCTTGGGCCCATTTCAAGTCCTCATATCTGCTGAACTATGAATAGTAGTAAGATGAAACTGGTATCATTTTAAAGCTACATTCATTTTTTGTAATGGTAATGACTTTTTCAGATTTTTTCAGATCCAGTAATGGCGTTCACTCAACCAGAAAAGGCGTTTTGCATCCTTGAATTTGCAAAAACTGAATCATGGACACTTCTTCAACGTGCATTTCGCACAAAATTCCGAAAAGAGGCACCAGAAAGGAAGTCCATATTGAGATAGCTTGGTAAATTCATGAAGGATGGGTGTTTGTGCCCAGATAAGAGAACGGGACGCCCCTCAACTTCAGATGATACGTTTGAACGAGTTCGAACTGCCTTCGAGCAGAGCCCCCGTAAATCGATCAGAAGAGCCAGTAATGAACTTCATTTTCCTACAACAACTGTTTGGCGTGTCTAAAAAAGACGACTGCGCATGACACCTTACGAGCTACAGTTAACCCAACAGTTTGCAGGACATTGATAAACCAGCTTGTCGTGACTTTTGTATTGCAATTCAAGAGAAGTTGGAAGATGATGGATTTGACGTGTGCCATGTGACCAACGGTGCTAACATTGAACATCTTTGAACATTCCATGTAAAAATTGAGATTAAATTCTTTCAGAACATGTCAGGCGCATTTTTATATCCTTAATAGTTTTATATATATATATATATATATAGATAGATAGATAGATAGATAGATAGATATGACTAAACATAGATAGATAGATAGATCTCTTTTTCTTTATGTGCCATGCGTGATACACGCTAAGGCGATCATGTATCTTTCTATACATGACTGACCAGGCAATTTTTTTTCCTGCAGTAGGTTGCCATTTCTTTCTGCGGTAGACCAGTTGCCATCCAAGGCTATAGAACCCAGTCCTGCTATTTACCCATAGCTGGGAGATAGATTATATTTATTATTGTAAAATACAATAATTGTGGCACATGGCCTAAAATGTAGGGAGTGGGATTGAGGTTGGTCACCCTTACCAATCCTATGCTGATTTTCCAAGCACAACTTAGATGTGGCACAAGGCTGAAATTAGGGGGCACCCAGCGAGAATCGAACTCACTACTCAGTCGTAATTGTTCTAGCGAGACAAGCTTGCTAACCTTTACACCACATCGAGGTGTCCTTACCTATCCTATACCTAAGGGTGGGGAGATAGATAGATAGATAGATAGATAGATAGATAGATAGATAAACAGACTCAGATAGATAGATAGATAGATAGATAGATAGATAGATAGATAGATAGATAGATAGATAAACAGACTCAGATAGATAGATAGATAAACAGACTCAGATAGATAGATAGATAGATAGATAGATAGATAGATACATAGAATAAATCCGTATATTTACAAACAAGCTTTTATCCTCCTGATCTAAAGAGCTCGAGAATATCGAATATGAAATCGATGTAAAATAATGATTTTGAATTTCAGATGATTTCTTTCTGTCTTGATAAATAACTGAAGCCATTCGGATAGTCGCAACTTTAAGTATATTTATTGTTGTTAAATACAGCAAATGTGGCACAAGACCGAAATTTTCAGCTTTAAGAACCAACCAGAATTGTGAACAGCACTTTTACACCAATGTTTAGAAAATAATCCACCAACAAGAACTAATTAACAAAATCTAATAGACTTAACTTGCCTGCTGTCTTTAAGAAAAGATTATCTCTGTATTTTAAGTATTCGTCTTTCATCACACACACACACACGCCGATACGCACACACACACTCCCCCTCACTCTCTTTCTCTTGTATATTTCTTTTTACTGTGAAGAAAAAGAAAACGAGAAAGTCCTTTTCATCTTCAGTTCTCTCTTTCTCTCTCTCTCTCTTTCTTTTTCTTTCTTTATTCCTTCTCTATTTTTTTCTTTTTCAAATTTTTCTCCTCACACCATTTCTCTTCTATCAACACCCATCATATCTCATCTTACCCTTCTTTAAATAGGATGGGGCCAACGGATTTGACTATTTTGGCACCAGGGTGACTGACCCCAACACATCTGCTTTAATTAGATTCTAATATTGCCGATTAAGCAAGAGGATTGAAAGCGGCGGGGGGGGGCAAGGTAGAGGCCCTCGTCAAATCTTTTAGAATCGCTCTGGGTGTTCACGAGGCAAGGAGAATGATCCGACCCCACCTCACCTTAAAGCCATTCGACGCTCCCAGGGTTAGTTTCGTCTTCCATTTTACCATTCATGCGGTGTGTACCGATTCTATTTCTTTGATGTCTATATTACTAAATATTAAAAAGGATTGTCTTCGAGCGGAAACCTTGGTTAATACTGGTTGGATGGAATAAGAAAACGGTGTTGGTTTGTGTTCCCTTGTTTTTTAGAATTATACTGATTCACATCTTCCGGTATTGGAAGAACAGAAGAGGAGTCTGGGAGGTGGATGTAGTGCGAAAGAAGGAGGAAGGAGAAAGGGTTTATGTATGAGGAAGAAGTAAAAGTGGAGGGAGAGAGGAAGGGGATGAAAAATGAAAGGAGAGAAGTAAATGAGAAGGAAGGTGTAGAAAAAGAAAAAAAGAAAGAAAAGAAGCAAAAAGGGGGCTGGGAGGTGGATGTGGTGCGAAAGGAGGAGGAGAGAAAAGAGGATATGTATGAAGAGGAAGAAGTACAAGGGGAGGGAGAGGGGAAGAGTATAAAAAATGAAAGGAGAGAAGTAAATGGGAAGGAAGGTGGACAAAAATAAATAAAAGAAAAGCAGCAAAAGAGAGGAATGAAGGAAACAGATAAGGAGGGGAAATAAAATGTTGAGACGAAAAATGAGAAAGAAAGAAAAAATAGAAGAATGAGGAGGAGAATAAATGGGGAAAGAAAAGAAAGACAAAAAAGAGAAAAGAAGAAAAATGACGAAAAAGAGGATAGGAGAAAAGCGATAAAAAAAAAAGACGTAAAATAAATAAAAAGAGAAGAAGTGATGAAAAGAGCAGGAAAGAATATGAGCTAGAGTGAAAAAAGAGGAAATTCAAAAAAAAGGATTTACAGAAGAAGGGGAAAAGAAAAGAAACGACGGGAAATTAAAATAAAAATATTAAAAATGAGGAGAGGAAAGACGAGGAAAATGGAGGGTGGTAATAACGAAAAGATAGTTAACAAAAAAGAATTAAAAGAAGAGAGACGAGGGAGGAGACTTCGAATGGAAGAATTATCCAAAAAAGAAGGAGAAGGAAAACGAGGAGGAGAATAAAAATAGAAGACGGAGGGAAATGAGGAGGAGGAGAATAAAGAAAAAGAAGAAGGAGAAAAATGAGGAGGAGGAGAAGAATAAAGAAAAAGGAGGAGGAGGAAAATGAGGAGGAGGAGAATAAAGAAAAAGAAGGAGGAGAAAAATGAGGAGGAGGAGGAGAATAAAGAAAAAGGAGGCGAAGGAAAATGAGGAGGAGAATAAAGAAAAAGGAGGAGGGGGAGAAGAAGAAGAATAAAGAAAAAGGAGGAGGAGGAAAATGAGGAGGAGAATAAAAATAGAAGACGGAGGGAAATGAGGAGGAGGAGATTAAAGAAAAAGAAGAAGGAGAAAAATGAGGAGGAGGAGAAGAATAAAGAAAAGGAGGAGGAGGAGGAAAATGAGGAGGAGGAGGAAAATGAGGAGGAGGAGGAGAATAAAGAAAAAGGAGGAAGAGGAAAATGAGGAGGAGGAGGAGAATAAAGAAAAATGAGGCGGAGGAAAATGAGAAACAGGTGAATAAAGAAAAAGAACGAAAATAAAATGGAGATAGTGGGGGGAAAAAACGGAAAATTAAAAAAAGCAAAGAAGCATGTATAAATAGAAGAGAAGAAAATGAAAAAGAAAACTATGTAACAGAAAAAAGATGGGTGAAGAAAGAAAGAAAGAAAGAAAGAAAGAAAGAAAGAAAGAAAGAAAGAAAGAAAGAAAGAACAGTAAAAGAAAAGAATACGTAAGTAAAAATACAAAAAAAAATGAAATAACTAGTAAAAGAAATAGGGGAGAAAAGCCGAAAAGGAAGAAAATAAAAAAGCAAAACAGTGGGAAAATCGAAGAAAGAAAGAAAGAAAGAAAGAAAGAAAGAAAGAAAGAAAGGTAGAAAGAAGAAGAAGGTAGGAAGCGATAGAAAGACGAAAGCAAAGAAAGAGACAAAAAATGAAGGAGATGAACCAAAACAAAAGTAAAAGAAAGAAAAGGAACAAAGAAGGGAGGGGAAGAAGGAAAATGAAAGAAAGAGAAAGAAGTGTAAAAAGAAAATGTAAAAGCGAACGAAGAAAAAAAAAAAAAAAAAAAAATTTAAATGAAAACCGGAATGAGACGTAAAAAGAGATGAATATTTTTTTAAAATTTAAAAAAGAGAATGACGGAGGAAAGAAAAGGAAAATTCAACAGACTAAAAGAAAGAGGCGAAAAGAGGTAAGAATGAATGAAATAGAAAGGGAAACAACAGAGGGGAAAAGAAGAGAGATATGGAAGGAAAGAGGGAATGTGATTGAAAAAGTAAAAAATATTAAAAGAAAAGAAAGAAAAAGAAATGCAAAGAAGTAAAAAAATAAAGAAGGAAAGGAAAAGAAGAGGGAAAAAAGACAAGGAAGAACGATTGAGAAAAATAAAGAAATCGAAAGAAGGAATGAAACGCAAAAAAAAAACGAAGGAATGAAAAGAAGAAAAAGCAGGAATTAAAAATAAAGATGAGGAAGGGTGTACAAAAAGACGGAATGAAAAACGGAATGAATTAATGAATGAAAAGAAAAAAAGAGAGAAAGAACGAACGGAAGAAAACAGAACGGTTTAAAAGGAAAAAAAAAAGGAAATTAACAAAAAAGACGAATGAAGCATAAAATAAAACAAAAAGAACATGGAATAAATTAACTGGGATTTATTTAATTATAAAAGACGTCCATTCCTACGCCATTTAAATCCTTCCTTTTCTTGTTGTCTTGTCACGAAGAATAAAGAGAAGCGGTCAATCAAGACCTGTTGACGCTTTCAATATTGCCTGAATCTATACCCCAAACCCCAACCTGTCAACCGAATCTACCCTTCGCCGTTAGACATAATAAAAAGGATCAAAAGTTTCTTAAATCAGTCAAAGACCAAAAAGAAATTTTAAGGTTTAAGGGGACTTAAAAAGGAAAGCCCTTTGGGATTTCACGATGATCACCCGAAATAAATGTGCAAACGACACTAGAAGAAACAGGGTTTCACTTTCCTCAACTGACTCTTTAAAAGTGGTCAAGCAGAAGTAATGCGATCAAGGATCTTTGTGTGCGTACTACTAACTATATTGGTCAGTTCTCTGTCGTCTACTCTTGACTCGATTATCGACGGCCCTCTCCATGGCTGTCCGCCAGTCGAACTGTCTCCCTCTCTCATTCCACTAATTTCGACGCCATTGCTTATCGTTCTGAAATACATCGTTAACGTCGAACTTCCGTTTCTCCACTTACCCTTCTTTCATCTATAACCCTTTGAGCTTATCTAACAAGACATGTCTCTTTCTCTAGGTCTCTTTCCCTCTCCTTATACGCATACACATACATATATATATATATATATATATATATATATATATATATATATATATATATATATTAGTTATGTTAGACTAGAGTATCTTTTCTTTAAAGAGAGACAGATGAATATAGATAGAGTGTAAGAAATAAGTACGCATATAGTGATTTTTCCAAGCGTAGCTTAGATGTAGCACAAAGGCTGAAATTAGGGGGCACCCAGTGAGGATCGAACTCACTCGTAATTGTTCTAGCGAGCCAAGCTTGCTAACCAATAAGTACGCATATATATTATCTATGGATATGTATGCGTGTATACACACACACACACACACACACACACACACACACACATATATATATATATATATATATATATATATATATATATATATATAACCGGATATAAGAGACCCGGATATAAGAGAAACCCGGATATAAGAGAGATTTTCTCTGGTCCCAAAGTGTTCCCATACTTACCTAAACAAAATAGACCAAACCCGGATATAAGAGAAACCTGGATATAAGAGACTTCTTCTCCGGTCCTGACAACTCTCTTATATCCGGGTTACTATATATATATTTGCTTACGAATGAAAGAGATACCTAGAGTTTTAAATGATTTTTTAAAAAATGAATTTTTTTCTTTTTTAGTTTAATTTCAAGCTGATAGCTTAAATTATTTAAAATTATTTCCAATAGGCAAAATAATTTACTGTATTTCAAAACAAATTCAAATTCATTTGATTTTCTTCTTCAAATCGCTAAGCATGGCTGAATTTAGCCATTTTTATCCATCCTTACAAATCTGTCGGCACAACGTAATTCCCTTTATTAAAAATCTTTAAAAATTACTTTTCTGAAACATTATTTGAGACAAATTAGCCGATTTAAAGTTTAATTAATCTGAATTGAAACAAATATTACTCACTTTTAGCTTAAAATATCGCAGGAAAGCATTTTTTAAGACGGAGCTGACTGTTTTTACAACTATTTTGACAGATTTATATTTGGAAATTTTTTCAAAGCTGTAACAATTACTTGAGTAATATAACGTGAATGGCTTTTTTATATCATTTTTAGTAATCTTTAAAATTTAGGAAAATATTAACTCTCCACTCGTCGCTAGAAATGAATACAGAATTTTTAAAATGAAACCTTATAAATTATTATAATTAAAATTTTAAAAAATGAAAACAATTATCGTTATTCACTGAATTTTTTTTCTTAAGAAAATAGCCTTCATAATATATCTTTTTTCATAAAGCAATTAAAGTATTAAAATATTTCCTAATTAAGTAGTTTTATTGCCTTTTCTATTTTACGAGTCAGAGCAGGTTTTCGGTAATTCGGGCTTTACAAAAAAAAAAAATTATAAGCCCTACAAAATTAATTTCTCGAAATTTCGTAAAATTAAATGTGGTGAGGTAACAGATGTAAAAAAAAAAAAAAAAAAAAAAACATAGTTTTACCAAAATTTTCCAGAAAAAAAAAAAGAAACATTTCTAAGATAGTTTCGTTCATTTGTAAATACGTTGTGAAAGTTTTATAAAACAATTTCTAAATCAATGATTTTTTTGTTTGTTTTTTTTTGTTTTGTTTTTTACCGCAAAAAGACGCAAAAAATTTCCGATATTAAATTATGGTCCTCCGATGATGAAAAATTTTCACACAAAATTTGAAAGTTCTAAAAAGCATTTAAAATATAATTTAAAAACAATGCTTTGGTTTTTCCTCTTAATAATATATGTGTGTATGTGTGTATGTGTGTGTGTGTGATTCTATTTGCATGTGTGTATGCATATGTGTGTGGTTCTATTTGCGTGTGTGTGTGCGCGTATGTGTGTGTGGTTCTATTTCCGTGTGTGCATGTGCGTGTGTGTGTGTGTGCGCATGTGCGTGTGTGTGTGTGTGCGCATGTGTGTGGTTCTATTTGCGTGTGTGTGTGTGCGCATTTGTGTGTGGTTCTATTTGCGTGTGTGTGTGTGCATGTATGTGTGGTTCTATTTGCGTGTGTGTGTGTGTGCATGTGTGTGTGGTTCTAGTTGCGCACTTGTGTGTGTGTGCGCATGTATATGTGGTTCTATTTGCGTGTGCGTGTGTTTTAGGTGCATGTGTGTGTGGTTCTATTCGCGTGTGTGTTTGTGTGTGCATGTGTGTGTGGTTCCATTTTCGTGTGTGTGTGCATGTGTGTGTGTGTGTGCATGTGTGTGTGTGTGCATGTGCATGTGTGTGTGGTTCTATTTGTGTGTGTGTGTGTGGTTTTATTTACGTGTGTGTCTGTCTGTGTGTGTGCGTGTCTATTTTGATATTTTAATTGGTTTATATTTCCTGAAACGTAAGTTTCAGTGGTTACACGTGTTTGAGTTTTGATCTCTGAGTTTTTGTTTTTTTTTAATTTCCTAACCAGTGAAATCAATAACAACCGACCGAGATAGAAAAGTCCTGCAAAAAGAAAGTTTGTACCGCCAACAGGAATCTAACCTCTTAAGTCCACTTTTACGGAAACTGCTTCTATAGCCGAAACGTGCCTTTATCAATTTGTCAACGGAGGCTGCATTGATAAAACACGGTTGAAATGACCTTATTTAAGGAATTAACATTTCACATTATCACTTCTACCAATCTAAAAGATTCAGTTTCGTGCCTGAAACGGAACATTCAAGTGTTATTTTATCAATTACTTTTATACAATTAAGAAATAATGTTGGGTAATGTACGCATATACGTAATCAAAGATTTAAGATAATTTTGAATAGATTCACAAGTACACGCACATCCGAATAGATGGATAGATAGATAGATAGGATAGATAGATAGATGATAGATGAATAGATAGATAGATGAATGGAAGAGGATGGAATAGATAGATAGATAGATAGATAGATAGATGAATGGATAGATGGGAATAGATAGGGATAGATAGATAGATAGATAGATAGATAGATAGATGAATAGATAGATAGATGGATAGATGGGAAACAAGTGGAATGGAGATGGATGGATAGATAGATAGATAGATAGATAGAGATAGATAGATAGATGGATGAAACAAGTGGAGATAGATAGATAGATAGATAGATATGAATGGATGGATGGATGGATGGATGGATGGGAAACAGGTGAGATGGATGGATGGATGGATGGATGGATAGATGGATGGATGGATAGATAGATAGATGGATAGATAGATAGAAAACAGCAGGGATGGATGGATAGATGGATGGATGGATGGATGGATGGATAGATGGAAACAGGTGGAATAGATAGATGGATGGATAGATGGATGGATGGATAGATGGATAGATGGAAACAGAGTGGGATAGATGGATGGATGGATGGATAGATGGATGGATGGATGGATGGATGGATGAAACAGAGTGGAATAGATGGATGGATGGATAGATAGATGGATGGATGGATGGATGGATGGATGGGAAACAGGTGAGGGATAGATGGATGGATGGATGGATGGATGGATGGATGGATGGATGGATGGAAGTGGGGAATGGAGTGGGATTGTTGGATGAAAGGGGCATTAGATGATGATGATGCTGATGATGATGATGATGATGATGATAGAATTTAAAACATTTCCAGTGTATTCGAGCGCATCGTACATTTTCCATTAACTATCAGTTATGTGCCATGTGCGATACACGCTTAGGATATCATGTATCTTTCAATACATGACTGACGAGGCAGATTTTTTTTCCTGCAGTAGGTTGCCATTTCTTTCTGCGGTAGACCAGTTGCCATCCAAGGCTATAGAACCCGGTCTGTCCTGCTATTTACTCATAGCTGGAGGAGAGAAGAAGAGGATTTATACCTTTCCCAAGGGTATTAGCTCGTAAGTGAATGTCATGGATTCGATTGGAATTCGAACTCGAATCCGTTATTGGAAGAATAAAATGAAAGAACTGTTCTTCTCGACTCCATAGTGAGAGATTCGTAAATTCAAAGCTTAACCTTAAATGTACAAGTCTACTCTTCAACAAATGGAACGCAAACTGATTTCGAACCTTCAGATATTAGAAAAATCCCTCTCATATACATTAATCTTCACCTTTTAAGCACCGTGTCCCTTCTGGCCGCTGCACAACTTCCTATCCCTAACATCTTTAAGCAATGTTTGTCCCCCTTCGTATGACTCCCAGTTCCTGATTCACCAACTATTTGCACAAGGTATTTAGAGAGTTTACTTGCTCTTTCCATCTTTCCCTTTTATCTTCAATATGTCCTGTGCTTGGAGAATTTGTCATTCTCCAAGCACATTGGGCCGCAGAAAATTCAGTTTTTGTTTTCTCTGTCTAAAAACAAGAGGGCTTTTTTGTGCCAATCTTCCATAAAACTTTCTCGTTACTCACATGCGCCGTCCATGTTATTCTCAGTATCCTTCTGTAGAACCATATATATTTTGCCTCAGGTCTCTTCTTCATTATTCTCTGACATATAGGAGGACCCATATTACATGGCTGTTCAGCACTCTTTTCTTTACTTCTAATGAAAATTTCTCATGTTTTAATACTTTGTTTAGGTTTTGGAAGGCATCTTTCACGCCTTCGGATTTCGGTGTCATATTTTCCGGCATCAGTTAAAACACTTCTCAGATAGTTAGATGTCTGTACTTGCTCGATCCTGACATCCCCAGTTCGTAACTCACACCTTGTGTTGTCCCACTCGCTAATCACAAAATAGGAGGGTGATCAAAAAGTTTCGGAACTGTTGATATGGCAACAGAGCTAAAGTATACAGAGTGAAGCCGCTTAGCACAGATTGACCTTGAACTCTGTCGGGCATGCACGATAAGTTATAACGTTCTCGCTCACTTTAGTTGTTTATAGTAGTGCCTGGAAAGAAAGTGCCTAAAATATGGTCACAGTTATCGAATCGTGAGTCTATGGTCATAACCCCGAAACCAAGGCTCAGTCTTTGCAGAGGAAGACCAACCTCTTCGAGAATGAAGAAAGTACGAATGAGTCGAAGCAATGTGAAGAAATTGTTGTCAGTTTTCTTTGGTGCCCAAAGATCTTTTTCATCATGAGTATGCCCCACCTGGTCAGTCAGTAAAGAAGAAGTACTACCGTGACGTGTTATGGCATTTGGGGGATTCTGTTCGTCGGAAAAGATCATGATTTCATGCGTCCGGTGAGTGACCACTCCACCATGACGACACGCCTGATGATTCAGCGCAGCTTGTGAAGCAATTTTGGGCCAAGTACAACAGTCTCAATGATCGACAATCATCATATTCCCCAGATCACTCTTACGACTTTTCCCTCTTTCCAGAAATCCAAATCCCACTTGAAGATTTCAAGACGTTGAGGAAAATACAAGAGAATGCGACAAGTCAGTTAGTTGATCGCTAATCCAGAAAAATGGAAATGACGCTGTATAAAGTATGTGGCTTCAGAAGGGGATTGCTTCGAAGGAGATTAAATGCTGAATTGATATCTGTTGTAGTTTTCTTTTTAGTCCCGATACTTTTTGATCAGACCTCGTATTTTGTCGTTTGGCAATTGGCGTCAATTCTTTCCGAATCCCTTTACTGCATTGTCAAGGAGTTTCCACGTTTTTCTTTCTGCGTCTGCCATCAACATGTCGTAATCTGCGTAACTTACGTTATTAAGAGTGTGTCCATTAATAAGAATTTTCTTGTAAGTCTTCTTGTTCTCTTAAGATCGTCTCGCAGTATATGTTAAATAAATCAAAGTACGTTACATTATTTGTTTGTTGTTATATCTTATTCCCATTTTGTGTGTGTGTCACTATTCACTAGGGGATGGTTGGTGTGGTGTAATGGATAACGGCTTCGTTTTCTTACGCGCTGGATCCATCTTTAACCCCCCCTCCGCCGCCCCAGCTGTAGATTGAACAACAGAGTAGACTAGGTTCTAAATACTTGGTTGAGAACCAGTCGACTGCAGAAGAGAAGGCTAGTCAATCATGAATCGAAAGTTTCGTATTCGTCCAAGCGTGTATCACGTATCGTACTTAGCTAAGTAAAATGCAGGTATGGATCCATCACTTCATCGCCTACCCCGCCCCAGCTATACATTAAATAGCAAAGCAGACTGGGTTCTAAAGTTTTGGTTGACAATCAGACTACCGCAGAAGAGACGGCAGCCTACTGCGGGAACATCTGCCTAGTCAGATGTTCCCGCAGTAGGTTTATGAATTATGAATTATGAAAGATTATGAATCTTTCGATTATGAATCGAAAGATTCATAATCGTCCAAGATTGTATCACGTATGGTACTTAACTAAGTAAAATCCAAAGTTAAATAGGCGTTAGGAAGATTTTGTTGCGCTAGTCTACCAGATGAGGAGATCCAACCTGTTTTGAAAATCGATTTTTTTTCTATATTCATCTCATTTTCGTTATTGTAGATCAGTACGGTGGAGATAGCGGCTCGGATTGCGGAAACGGAGAGTTGAGTTCGAATTCCAGTCGAACCCATTACATTCACTTACGTGCTAGTACCCTTGGGAAAGGTATGAACCTCTTATTCTCCCCCACAAGCTATGGATAAATAGAAGGACAGCCCGGGTTCTATAGCCTTGGATGGCAACTGGTCTACCGCAGAAAGAAATGGCAACTAAAATAAAAAATCTGGGGAAAAAAATCTGCCTCGTCAGTCATGTATCGAAAGATACATGATCGTCTAGACGTGTATAACGCATGACTCATAAATGACTGACGCCAGTGGGAAAAACACAAGAGACAGAAGGTGTATCCTCTATTGCTTAAATCTTTTTCTTTCTTTTTTTTCTTTCTTTCCTTCTTTCTTTCTTTCTTTCTTTTTCCTTTTGCTTCTTCAGTTTTTTTGACGACCACCTCATCGCAATTAATGATATCTTTCTTTTTTTTATGTTTAATCTCTTTACCCGCCTTCTTCGATCGACTTTTTCACATTCCCTTCCAACTCAGAGTCCATTTATTCATTGAAATATGACGATTCTATCATTTGCACATTTTCCCGCCATTGCCCTGGGATGGGCCATGTTTAATTCATAAAGATATTCTTTTCACAGATCAATCTTTACTTGGTTCGAATCGAACCCCAACCACCTCCCAGGGGTTCGCTATTCTGGTCTTCTCATTCTAACAAATAAGTCTTTACCTTACACATTTTTCGGCATATAGAATAGTTTTTCTAACACACAGACAGACACACACACATATATATTATATATATGTGTTTATATATATATATACATATATATTATATTATAAATATGTGTGTTAGACAGAATGTTCTTAAAATGTGACTTATAACATATGTGTGTGTGTATGTGTGTGTTTTTGTGTGTTAGGAAATCTCGAAAAGCAGAAGGAGGAGGAGGAAGGGGGAAAATCTTAACAGGTGCTCGTAGTAAATCACTGGCGCCAAGAGGAAAGATAAAAAAAACTAGTTGACAATATTGAAGTAAATAGTTTTTTTAATTGTTCAAAAAGGAAAAAAAAGAAAATACGTAAGGCTTGAATGATTTTTTTCATAGGTATATTGACTTGATGTAAAAGAAAGAAAGAAAGAAAGAAAGAAAGAAAGAAAGAAAGAAAGAAAGAATGCTTGACGTAAAAAGACAAAAGTGGAGGAAATACGATAGGAATGAAAAGTCGGGAAAAGAAAGAAAGAAAGAAAAAGAAAGAAAGAAAGAAAGAAAGAAAGAAAGAAACCAAAGATGCTTGACGTAATAAGACAAAAGTGAAGGAAATAACGTAGGAATAAAAAGATGGAGAAAGAAAGAAAGAAAGAAAGAAAGAAAGAAAGAAAGAAAGAAAGAAACCAAAAATGCTTGACGTAATAAGACAAAAGTGAAGGAAATAACGTAGGAATAAAAAGATGGAGAAAGAAAGAAAGAAAGAAAGAAAGAAAGAAAGAAAGAAAGAAAGAAAGAAACCAAAAATGCTTGACGTAAAAAGACAAAAGTGGAGGAAATAACGTAGGAATAAAAAGATGGAGAAAGAAAGAAAGAAAGAAAAAGAAAGAAAGAAAGAAAGAAAGAAAGAAAGAAAGAAAGAAACCAAAAATGCTTGACGTAATAAGACAAAAAAGTGAAGGAAATAAGGAGGAATAAAAAATGGAGAAAGAAAGAAAAGAAAGAAAGAAAAAAGAAAGAAATGGAAAGAAACCAAAAATGCTTGAAAGACAAAAGAAAGAAATAACGTAGGAAAAAAGAAAGAAAAAAAAGAAAGAAAGAAACCAAAAAGAAAAAGTGAAGGAAAAACGTAGGAAAAAATGATTGACGAAATAAGAAAGAAAAAAGTGAAAGGAAATAACGTAGGAATAAAAAAAGAAGGGAACGTAGGAATAAAAAGAAGAAAGAAAGAAAAGAAAGAAAGAAAGAAAAGAAAAGAAAGAAAAAAAAGAAACCAAAAATGCTTGACGTAAAAAGACAAAAGTGGAGGATATAACGATAGGAATAAAAAAGATGGAAAAGAAAGAAAAAAGAAAAAGAAAGAAAAGAAAGAAAAAGAAAGAAAGAAAGAAACCAAAAATGCTTGACGTAAAAAAGACAAAAAGGATATACGATAGGAATGAAAAGTCGGGAAAAGAAAGAAAAGAAAGAAAAAAAGAAAAGAAAAGAAAGAAAGAAAGAAAGAAAAAAGAAAGAAAGAAAGAAAACCAAAAATGCTTGACGTAATAAGACAAAAAGAAATAACGTAAGAATAAAAAATGAAAGAAAAAACGAAAGGAATAAAAAAGAAAGAAAGAAAAAAATGCTTGAAATAAGACAAAAAAGTGGAGGAAATAAAAATAAAAAGATGGAGAAAAAGAAAAAAGAAAGAAAGAAAGAAAGAAAGAAAAGAAAGAAACCAAAATGCTTGACGTAAAAAGACAAAAGTGGAGGATATACGATAGGAATGAAAAGTCGGGAAAAGAAAGAAAGAAAGAAAGAAAGAAAGAAAGAAAGAAAGAAAGAAAGAAAGAAACCAAAAATGCTTGACGTAAAAAGACAAAAGTGGAGGATATACGATAGGAATGAAAAGTCGGGAAAAGAAAGAAAGAAAGAAAGAAAGAAAGAAAGAAAGAAAGAAAGAAAGAAAGAAAGAAAGAAAGAAAGAAAGAAAGAAACCAAAAATGCTTGACGTAATAAGACAAAACTGGAGGAAATAACGTAAGAATAAAAAGATGGGGGAGGGAAAGAAAGAAAGAAAGAAAGAAAGAAAGAAAGAAAGAAAGAAAGAAAGAAAGAAACCAAAAATGCTTGACGTAATAAGACAAAAGTGGAGGAAATAACGTAAGAATAAAAAGATGGAGAAAGAAAGAAAGAAAGAAAGAAAGAAAGAAAGAAAGAAAGAAAGAAACCAAAAATGCTTGACGTAATAAGACAAAAGTGGAGGAAATATCAAAGGAATAAAAAGTCGCGGGGGCGGGGAGAAAAGAAGAAAGAAACAAAAAAAGAAGGATAGAGAAAGCTATGAAAGATAACCAGAAGAAGAGAAATAAAACCATGAAAGTTTTCATACAAAAATCACTTTAGGAGAGAAATAAGTTAGATAAGAAATAAAACAAAAATAAATATTAATTTACTTTGAATAAGTTTTGCCATTTTAAGAGTATGTTCACGACTGGACTAAATAGATTGATAGATACGAACAGACTGAGATATGAACAGAGATAGATCGACACACACATCTTTAGAGATAGAGAGAAAGAAGTAAACAGGGATAAAGAGAGAGAGAGAGGGTGGCAAAGAAACACTAAACGGTCATAGAGAGAAACAGATTAAAATGTGAGGGATACTAAAAAAAAAAACAAAAGTTGGTAAGAGCTATAAACGTTAGAAAGCAGTAGACAGCCATGTTCGCCCACGTCCTGAAGAGACACGACACTTACAAGAATGTAACAAGCCCAGAGACATGTCCCTAAACCAATGTAATGAAATGGCAATTATGATCGCACACACACCACACACACAGAGACACGCACTCACTCATATATATATGTGTGTGTGTGTGTTATTTCAAGAAACGTTATATTAAGTGGATACGTGACAGCCCTAATTTTTAAAACGGTGTAATTCGACTGCTTAAAAAAAGTGATGTCGACGACATTTTTAAACATCATATTTCGTGGATACTTTGGTACCCTCGAAAGAAAAACAATACCTAAGGTTTAAAATGAATTCAGAAAATTGAAGAATCTTTGTTGAAGCTTTTTATCTTAGTTTTAATTTCAAGCTAATAGACTAAATTTAATATTTCCAATAAGAAAAATAATTTGCTGTATTTCAAACTGAATTTAAATTGACTGGAATGATTTTTTTTTTTATCAGAGAAAAAAAAATCGTCCATATTTACAAATCTGCTAACACCATGTAATTCTCTTTATTAAAAAATATACTTTTCTGAAAGAGGAAACATTAATTAATTTAAAGTTTAATTAATCCGATTTGAAACAAATATTACTTTTAGTTTAAAATATTGCAGAAAAACATTTTAACACGGAGGTGGGTGTTTTATGAGAGAGAGAGAGAGAGAGAGAGAGAGAGAGAGAGAGAGAGAGAGAGAGAGAGAGATTTTTGTTTGGGAATTTTCTCTAAGGGGAACACAACTGTAACTTTTACTTGACGAATATAACGTAAACGCCTTTTTTATATAATTTTTTTTTGACTACCCAGTAAGGTTAAGAATTTATGAAAATATTGTAAGCGGTCTAATATTTTATTGAATTTTAGGTACTTTGGTTTTATAGTCTTACTTACGAAGACGCTTGTTGGGGAAATGTTAGAAAATTACCAATAAATTTTAACTTTATTATAGCTACAGTGTAACCCGGATATAAGAGACCCAGATATAAGAGAAACCCGGATATAAGAGAGATTTTCTCTGGTCCCAAATTAGAGCCTGTGTTAATGTATATAAAATAGACCAAACCCGGATATAAGAGAAACCCGGATATAAGAGACTTCTTCTCCGGTCCCGACAACTCTCTTACATCCGGGTTATACTGTACTATTTTTATTTTCTGATTCGCATTTGGACAAGCGTTTATAAACGTGTCGATTTTTAAAATAATGGAGGTCGTTCCATTCGTGATTAGTAAATCAGTCAGTTAAAATACAAGCTTAGGCGATCATGTATCTTTCGATACATGACTGATGATATAATGATGTAAATTTTCCCGCAGTAGGTTGTCATTTCTTTCTGCGGTAAACCAGTCGCCATCCAAGGCTATAGAACCTGGTCTGTCCTGCTATTTATCCATAGCTCAGGGAAAGAAAAAAAGGTTTCATACCTTTCCCAAGGGTATTAGCATGTAAGTGAATGCAATGGATTCGACTGGAATTCGAACTCGGCTCTCCGATTCCTCAGTCCGAGCCGCTATCCATTATACAACCGTGCCGCCACAGTTTTATTTAATTACAGTATCATTCGACTGCTACAAATTAATGCAGAGTGAAAACAATTCTTGTCAAAATTTATTATTCATCGAAATATTTTTTTCTTAATAAAATATTGTCCATAATATATTTTATATATAAAAGCAATATTTTTTTTATTAAATAATGTTTTAGTTTTATTGCATTTTTTATTTTACGATTCTAAGAAAATTTTCTGTAACTGGGAGTCTTGTTTGATTAAAAAAAATATTAATGATTTAAATTCTCCGAGGACTTGTCCTTATAACTAATATAAACATTAAACGTTACAAAAAAGAATTCATCGAAATTTCATTAAAAATTAAATAAGTGGGGGTTAACAGATGTAAAAAAAAATATTTTTACAAAAACTTTCTAAAAAAGAAACATTTTTAAACATAATTTCATTCATTTGTGAATGAGTTCTGAAAGGTTCATTAAATTCAAATAATTTTCTGATTTTTGCAAGAATTTCAAATTTAGTGTGTTTTGCACCGCAATGTTTCAGTAACAGACAAAAAGAAATCAAACAGCTTATTCCCCAAATATATTTTTGAACGAACAGCTTTCATTCTGACCGATTTACGAACTCGTTACAAAAGAACAAAAAAACAACCCTAACTTGTTGCTCATATATCTATCCAATTAATAATTTTACTCATCGATTTTTTGTTCATTTTCGTGTTTTTCTGTAAAGTCAACGCTTTTCATATTTTCAAGTTTTTGGTTCAATGTTATTGTTTCTGATTCAACCTGTGTAAGTCAAGTTGACGAAAACTTTAATTCCTTCTAATCATTACATATTTAAATTTGCTTGGATTAAGTTGGTTAATTTAACGATATAACAACGCTTCTTGAAATATAAGTCCCCCAAGAGTCAAATATAAGTACCCCATGTATGGGGATAAATACCAAGCTAGATTAGGCTCTATAGCATTAGATAACAGCCATTCTAAGGAAAAGAAAACAGAGAAGGCAACGGAAATCTACTTTTCAAAGAATGCAGGGAAAATCGCAGATAATGAATAAAACGGATCTGTGGATAACCCTAATTATCTGTTTTGAAGAGACATGGCATTTGAAAAAAAATTAACGTTATAAGACAGAAATTACAATGAATTAATAGATAGCCCCGGTATATACGTAGACATATGTCTTGTATGCACATGACGCAAAACGTAGATATTGGTCCAGTTTACACTTGATCCAAAGCATAGACACTGGTCCGGTTTACACTTGATCCAAAGCATAGACACTGGTCCGGTTTACACTTGATCCAAAGCATAGACACTGGTCCGGTTTACACTTGATCCAAAGCATAGACACTGGTCCGGTTTACACTTGATCCAAAGCATAGACACTGATCCGGTTTACACTTTGATCCAAAGCATAGACACTGGTCCGGTTTACACTTGATCCAAAGCATAGACACTGGTCCGGTTTACACTTGATCCAAAGCATAGACACTGGTCCGGTTTACACTTGATCCAAAGCATAGACACTGGTCCGGTTTACACTTGATCCAAAGCATAGACACTGGTCCGGTTTACACTTGATCCAAAACGTAAATATTGGTCCGGTTTACACTTTAGCAAAAAGGTAAATATACGTCTTTTTTATACTGGAATCACATAGTAGGCATGTGACTCGAGCCAAAAGATAGACATAGGTCCGCGTATCCACCAGGAAGGTACCCCTTTTGGAGGAGCTGCTATAAGAGACCCGGTCGACACGTTCTAAGCTCGTCTGACAGGACATATATTTTTCTGCACTGATTGCGGAAGTTCTAAATAATGTAAGAGTTCGGTTACATCTCTCTCTCTCTCACTCTCTCTCTCTCTCTCTCTCACACACACACACACACACACACACACACAAACTCTCTCTCACTCTCTCTCTCTCCCCCTCCCTCTCTGATAGAGACAGCATCAATGATTACTGTGAGCTATGGCCGCAGCACATTAGGCCGTGAACTAAGGCTGACTATTCAGCTTTTCTTGGTATATTTTGTGGTGGGGGATAAAATATTTTTTGTCAAAAAGAATTCATTCAGAATAAGGGAGGTTCTATTTCTGAAGAGTGCTTTAAAGATAAGCTTCGGCACTTATAAGATATGAGCTATCACGATCAGCTTTGATAGATCTGTAGATTGTCCTATGCAATGGCACATCGGAGGAAATCTTCAGTTTGGTATCAATTTTGACATTGTCCACTGAGCAGCGGTAGATTATCCTTTAGGCTGAAGCTTAAGGCCCAGAGCCGGATTATCCTTTAAGCTGATATAGGTTGAAACCTAAGACCTCTCAAGCTTTTATAAAGCAATGATTTTAATTTTCAACATGTTATTACTTCTAAATAGTTTCATAAACTGAAATGATATCAATATAACAAACTCACATTTATTTCAGTCAGTTATGTGCTATGCGTAATACACGTTTAGGCGATCATGTATCTATCGATACATGACTGACGAGGCAGATTTTTCCCGCAGTAGGTTGCCATTTCATTCAATTGCCATCCAAGGCTATAGAACCTGGTCTGTCCTATCTGTTCTAGGTGGGGGTAGAAGAAGAGGATTCATACTTTTCCCAAGGGGATTAGCACGTAAGTGAATGTAATGGATTCGACTGGAATTCGAACTCGTCTCTCCGATTCCTCAATCCGAGCCGCTATCAATTACTCTACCGTGGAAATGAAATTATGGACACCATCCTGCTTTGTATCAACGTTTCAGGTTGAAGTGTAATAGTAGGGGAATGAATCCTTGGCAGACATTGGATCCTTGGTCATGTAAATACCGCAGCTTATCTAACTATTGTGACTAACCACGTTCATCAGTTTATTACGGCGGCGAAGCTATCCGCTGGCGGCCACATCCAATAGGACAACGTCCCTACACATAAGCCGGTAGTGGCCCGCTGGCGGGCCGCCGATAGCAACACCAGCATTCCTCTGCTGGCAGCCACCGGTCCGCCTGTGATAACATTGCCGAGACGAACACGCCAGCCGCCCGACAGTGGGCCACCAGCGGTAAACGCTAGTGGCATGCCACTCAGTGGCAGATTGGTGGCTGCGTGTAGTGTTACCACATCATAAATCAAAAATATTGGCAGATTAGAACACAGGAATGTGTTTTCTGTGTTAAAGTAACCTCCAGGGTTAATGGGTGTCAGTGCCATAGAGCAGTGTTTCCCAACCTATGACCACATGGCCAAATTGGGCCATGACAAATTTTTACAATTTTTACTAGGCCACCGGACTAATATATGGGTGACATAGAGTTTTTATTGATTACATTTTTTTGTTTTGTGCCATATATAGGAAAAACTGTAAAAATAAATATGGATAATGGTCGTTTCATTGGAGAGGCGAAATATTGTAGATGCTTGTGAAATTCTATGTGTCCAATAAATAGATATAGTTCTATCTTTATTGGATATATTCTATGTAAAATCGAAGTCATTTTTTACGCTATAATAATTCCATGGGCCACAGAAAAATTCTAGGTTCAAAGTGGACCATGAGCTAAAAAGATTTGGGAACTTCTGTCATTGAGGACATTTAGAATGTGAAAAGAGAAATTCTAATCCTGGATGTGTAGCAAACCAATCTAGAATTACTGTAGGCCAAAATAACAGGACAGACCCAAATTCTGGAAAGAGTACTTCCAGAACATCATCGAATCCATGCCAAGATGATAAAATCTGGCTCAACACGATACTAGAAGAGTATGCTTAATAATGAAAGTGTTGAGTGTATTTTGACGTCCATTTTTTTCTTTATCATTCATGTTTTTTCTTTATCGTTTGTGTTGAAACTGCATCTTTTTCCTGAAACAATAAAAAGGTTATAAAATCTCTGAGCATGAAGGAAACCGGCGGCATTTTGTTAATTCTTTGTTGCGTCACAATAGGAACATCGCAAGAGCAGAATTACCTTTTTTTCATCAACACCCAAAATTAATAAATTTCTTATTGGTATGTTTTTCCCCTTCCATAAAGAAGAATATAAATACACTTGCGTATTTTCTGCCAGGATCCACACAAACCTTTCAGGAAAAGAAAGTCATAAAACATTTTGGTCTTCTTTTGTTTCCCGAAAAATTAATTTTTCCGTTCCTGTAATTTGCGTTTCATACAATTTTAAAAAATATGGCTTCAAAATTTCTGGTCGAATTTATTTCTAACTTTCTAAGTTTAAAAAATATTACTTCATCTCCATGATAACTCTTACAAGTGCACACAAAATACATTCATTAAAATTACATAAGATAACAATTATTTTCGGACAAAGGTATATATATATATATATATATATATATATATATATAGTTAAGTAATGAAAAGGTTTGGTAATCTGTATGGATAAATCCAGAGAGTTCAAAGTCAAATCAAAATCAGAGCAATTATTCATTCAATTTAAATAGAGCAATGGACCCTTAAGGTTGTCTGTTTTCTATTTAAATTGAATTTATATATATATATATATATATATATATATATATATATATATATATATATATATAAGATTGTACTGATCCAGAAAACATCCTTTTAGGAGTCAGTTCCCACAAAGTAGGGGTTCGAGTAAGAAGCTGCTCGAGTAGAAATTATACCTAACCAATGAAATATGAAAGGTCTTAGTCATGAAGGTAATATATATATATATATATATATATATATATATATATATATATATATATATATATATATATATATATATATATTCTGAGGACATTTATATATATATATATATATATATATATATATATATATAATTTTTCCTTATCAGAGACTGACAGCACAGTCTAGCTCTCTATGCATCTTGATTCTTTGGGGAACATACGGCCGCAACACCTCCTCTCCAGCGGACGCGATTCGGCTGATCCTCTTCAGTTTGGCCCATGTCGTGCCAGCTGCCTTCACCTCTGTGTCAACACTTCTGCGCCAAGTCTGTTTTGGTCGACCCACTTTCCGCTTCCCTTGTGGATTCCATTTAAGGGCCTGCCTGGTGATACTAGAAGCGGGCTTGCGGAGTATGTGGCCGATCCATCCCTATTTCCGTTTCTTGATGTCAATCTCGATTGGGGCTTGTTTGGTGTACATATATGAGTATATATGATTTATACACACACGCATACATACATATAGATAGATAGATAGATAGATAGATAGATAGATAGATAGATAGATAGATAGATATTGGCTGACTCTGTCATGCCGTGGGTGTTAACACCGTGCAACTTGATACAAGATGCCCAGTTGTTTCTGGAAACTTATCACAGAATCTGTATTTTGGGCTAACACAATTTTCAGTATTTCTGCTTGGTATTTTCTGGTATTCTTTTCTTATCTTCTCCTTCATGTATTCCATCTCCTTCGCTGATTCCTAGGTATTTATAGGCTTCTTCTTGTCCAAGTTCCGTAATCTTTGTGACAAAATCTAAATCTCTTGAGCGTGTTTCTGTAATTCACCCTTACTTGTATGTTACTTTTGCACATTTATTTAATCCAAAATCCATACCGATATCATCACTGAAACATTTTACAATACTAAGGATACACTTAACTCATTTTCGTCTTTTCCAAAGAATTTAATATCAATGGAGAATAAGTGATTAAACACTTTCTTTGTTTACTTTGTATCCATAGTTATTGCCGTTTAGTACATACGAAAAGGAGATTAAGGACAGACAGGACAGAAGGGGCGACAGTGAAAGACTCTTTGAAAGATTCCTTGTTGGATATTCAAACAATTGGAATTGGTAGTACCTTTAGTGTGACTAAAGTATAATGCGATTTTCCACAATTTTATACTATATTTAACGAAAATTGCTATGATCAAGGAGACTTTATACATTTCCAAAGCCTTAAGGATCCAAAAGTGTGGCACACTATCAAAAGCTTTATGATAATCTATCAAAACTCTGCTGAGATTCCGAGTTTTCTTCGGAAATTTTACAGAATCATTTTATTTATTAGAAGGTGATATTTGCAGCCATATGAACTTCTTCGACAGTCCTTCTGTTCCAGGGGAAATATGTTTTTTCATCGAGAAAAGTGTAAATACAGTTCGTCAGGGCAGACGTGATCAGTTTATATGTGGTGGACAGACATGTTATTGGCCTATAATTTTTTTGGATCCTGTAGAGGTGTGTCCAAACTATAATCCTTAGACTCTATAGGAGAATTCTCATTTAATTGATAGCACTTTTCTTAGTATATATGTGGTGTTCCTAGTAGGGAGATCTTCTGGGCAACTTGTATGTCGATGTTACCTGAGACACCGTTAGTAAAATTGTCCATTCCTTTTCTCACGAGGCCCAGTGCTCCGATTATTAATGGTACAGTCTCAGTCTACATTCTCCACATCCTTTTAATCTCGATCTCCAGGTCCTTGTATTTGGACAATTTCTCGATAATTTTCATGGAAGTCTTTCTCTCAGATGGTACTGCTCTGTCAATAAGCATACACTCCCTGAATTTCTTGTTTTTATGATAATATCAGATCTGTTGTCTTTTATTTCCGACAGTTTGAATTGGCATCTCCCAGAGGACAGTTACATCGTTAGTTTGGATAAATGTGTCTGGTTGAATCCATTACATTCACTTGCGTGCTAATACCATTGAGAAAGGTATCAATCCTTTTCTCCTTCCCTCGCCTAGCTATGGGTAAATAGCAGGACAGACCTGGTTCTATAGCCTTGGATGGCAACTGGTCTACCACAGCAGAAATAAATGGCAACCTACTGCGGGAATAAATCTGCCTCGTCATTCATGTATCGAAAGATACATGATCGCCTAAGCGTGTATCACGCATGGCACATAACTGACTGACTGTGTCTGGTTGGTGCTCGTAACATCTCTCAGCGGTTTCGATTTTGTCCCTCTTGCATATCTTCCAGTGCATATATGTCGCTACTTTATTATATCGGTGGGTATATTCATTTTTTTAGTTTTATTATTATTATTATTATTATTATTATTATTCCCTTCTTTCGCGCGGTTACCGTTTCCAAACAGAGTTCTTGGATTATGGGAGCAATCTCAGACAGATAACACCTTTCGTAGCATATTGCAGTGCCAAGCAACGCAGACCTCTGAAGTGGTGAGATACTAGGCTTTATTCGGATTTTATCGATATAAGTTTTAAGCTCGTGTATATAGACCCCAACACCCCAATAATAACCGGGATGACAGAAGCGTGAACATCCCACAACCCGGCAACTTCAGTCCGGAGGTCAGCCATCCTGGGTATGACGATAAACTACATCCGCATCCTGGGTAAGACGATAAACTACGTCCGCGTCCTGGGTAAGACGATAAACTACGTCCAAGGCCTCTGATCAGGAGGTTTTGAGGAGTGTGGAACCCCCTCTTAACTGCTGCTGTTCCCAGGTCCACCCTAACCCAGGATGATAGCACCTGTTATGGTCCAAACTATGGGCAAACTGGGGTCAAACCACTATGAAAGTGTAAAAATAGGTTGTAATAACAGCAATAAACTTTTTGAGGAAAAATTATAACCAGCAATACATTTTGAAAAAAAAAATATTACCAGGAATAAAAATCTTGTCGTCATTAAGTTGAGGTTGATATGCCGTAAAACCAAACCAAACCAAACCGGAGGTTGGTGTATGTCTTGAGTTTATCAGTTTCTTTACCGTGACGTTATGTTCATTAATAATTTCATTTCGACGGTCACCAGTTCCAACAAGAACTTGCATTATAGGCGCCCTCCACCAAATCGTATCTTTCTCAAAATATTTGCAGTGCCAAGCAACCCAGAATTCTGAAGTGATGCAAAAAAACTTTAATTTGATTTTTTCGATGAAGTTCAGTATTATTATTATTATTATTATTATTATTATTATTACAGTGTAACCCGGATATAAGAGAGTTGTCGGGACCGGAGAAGAAGTCTCTTATATCCGGGTTTCTCTTATATCCGGGTTTGGTCTATTTTATATACATTAACACAGGCTCTAATTTGGGACCAGAGAAAATCTCTCTTATATCCGGGTTTCTCTTATATCCGGGTTACTCTGTATATCCATTGGATGCTTATAAATTCTCAGACTAAAATAATAGAAGCCTATCCACCGACGTTTATTTTATTACAATATTCTTCTCGTTTGGGATCTCTCGACTACCCAGAATGTTTCCCACCTCCCCGGGGGTAGAGGAATAGTGTTATCCGCTGGTTGGTGGGGAGGTGTCCCAATTAAGCCAGGTGAACGCATCGTCACCCCCGAAAACCAGTGGAGCAGACGGAATTCGAGGCTCAGCGGTTGTCTTGGCGTCGAGGGAATGTTTGGAGATGCATACGCAATGGCCGCTGGAAGGGCTAGTCCGAGTCAACGAGCAAGTATTAAAAGGGCACTTTATCCCCACGCGTATGAGGACAGGAGTTAGTCTGGGAGCATTACCCTCTCTCTCTCTCTCTCTCTCTCTCCCGACTCTCTCTCTCTCTCTCTCTCTCTCTCTCTCTCTCTCTCTCCCTAAGAATAAGAAAGTGAGTGGGTATCTGTAGTGGGGAACATGTCAAACGTGATTTGTGATGATAGTGGCGGTGATGGTGCGTGGATAATGTTAAATTTCAAATGCATAGATTATGGGTGAGTCAACATGATGTGTGTGTGCGTATTTTTTATATATTAAGAGTTCTTTTCTCAGAAAAGTATATGTAGCCTTCTAGATAGAGTACTATAAGTAAAACAGATGCAAGTTAAGATTTTTTATTTGGTAAAACATTGTCAGATGAAATTACTTATCTTAATTTCTGCTTCTTATCGCAACATTACATATGCAGATAATACCGTGTTGATGGCAGGCACAGGAAAAAAACACAGGAACTACTAGACAATATAGTAAGGGAAAGCATGAAGAAAGGACTAACAGTCAATTATACAAAGACAGAATATATAGTTGTAAGCAAGAGAGACCCTGCACAAGATAAATAGCAAAAGGAAACACGAGCTTTAAGCAAAATGGTTACAATATAAAAAAAAATAGCCGAGGCACAAGTTTAAACTAATGCCAGGCAGTTATGGGTAAAAATAAACACATCTGATCAAATTTTGCTCAGATTAAATCGAAATTCAGCTACTGCAGATCGGAAAATTCGGAAAAGTTCAGCTACTGCAGATCGGAAAATTCAGCTACGGAAAATTCGGTAACAGAATATTCGGTAATTTTGATAACTATGAAATAAAAATCAATTAAAAATTGATTTTAAGGCTGTTCTGGAGTGGGAATTTCAGGGTTACGCCCCACTTCCCTATATTTTTAAATAACTGGTCCAGATAAAACCACACTACAACAATACCAGGGCAATTTTTGCAGAAGTGGGGGTTACGGGACTAGGTCTCCTTCCCTAATATTTTTTGAAAAGTATTATTAACTGGGAGGCGGGTAGATAAAAAGCCACTACAACAATACCAGGGTCGTACTCAATCGATTTTTATTTTATAGTTACCGAATTTTCCTACCTTGTCAAAATTGCTGAATTTTTCCTTACCGAATCTCCAGTTACCGAATTTTCCTAAATTCGACTAAAGGACATGTAGATTAATTTGTGTTCGTTTGAAAGACCACACCGTTGTATTCTCAAAATATTTTAATGCATTTCTTATTACATTTGATGTTATATTTAGTGTGGTTGGCACTTTCGCTTTCCGACCGAGTTCGAATCTTGGCAGATTTGGCACCGTTGGAAAGTGTTTAAAAACCGTACTGCGGGTTGACCCAAGCCTTGTGAGCAGGGCCGATAAAAGGGTCTAGTGCCCCCCACCCCCCGGCCATCTATGATACAGCCCACTCTGAAACTATGATATGAGGCCTCACACTCTATTACATCTCAGTTTTCTTAAGGTAGTATTCATAGAAAATACAACTTTTATTGCAACCCAGTTACGTACATTAATGGATGATATGCAATATCGGTGAACAATTTAACAAGAAAAATTGAAATTAAATGCAATTTATCTAAATACAAATTAGAGACATGTTATAATAGATCATTCCATCTTAATAAATAAATTACCAATGTTTTTTGCGGCAATTCTTAATATCATCTTGGGATTGTTCTTGTTAAAATGTCGAATAATGCTAATATATTCAACATTATGGATAAAAAAAATAGTGCATTTTAAAGAATGTTTTTTAGACTAAGTATGAGCCAAACAATTTCACGGATTTCGATGAAAAAAAAAAGACC